GCGCGTGCCCGCCCGCCCCGCGGGAGCCCGGCCGGAGCCCGGCCCTTTGCCCCCGGAAGCCTCGCATGGAGGCCGGGGGCAAACGACCAGTACCAGGCAGGGACTCCGCCCTTGCAGCTGGTCGGAGGAAATGCCCAGCGCCCCGCGGAAACACAGTTTGTAAACGATGGCGTCGTTTTGCCAGACGCACAGATTTTTCTCCTAAAGGACATCCGGTCGTCTTGACCTGAACCGAACTTGCAGCCGAGACGCGCGCGCCTGGTACACCAGCCGGCGGCCGGGACGACGCCGGGCCTTTCCGTTCACGCCAGCCCAGGACCTGTAGGGAATCCTAACTTTGCCAAGCGTTTGCTCCAGTGTGATAAAAGACAGCCTCCACCAGCAGTAGCCCAGGATCAGATTATGACGTGAAACAGGCTTTGGGGGACCAGCCCTCAGCCTGCACACTGGCAGACATTGGGGCTTCAATCTTAGCTCTCTGAGCAGCGTTGACTCTTCATGAATATAGAGTAAAAGATGAATTATTGGTCTTTTCTAGCATCACCATTATTTTCATTGTTGTTATTTGACCTCAACGAGCAATTGCTGGCCCACGAATAGTTTCAGAAAAATGAAATGTAAATGAAGAAAAGGAAGGTCTAGTGGGAACATCCTGGAAGTGCTCATACCTGATTTCAGATGTCACCGACTGTCCCGAAGTGAAATTGGGACTGTTCACTTTGTTGCTTTAAACTTGGACTTTGTCATCTGTACTTTTTTTTTCTGCTTTTGATAAAGGCTAAACACTTTGAAGATCACTGCATTATCCTAGAAAGTGAAGTATTTTTCATTCAAAAGCTTTTTCTTCATCGTTACCTACAAACTCTGTAAATACTTCAGTAATCCTTTTTTTTTTTTAAGGGTAGAGATCAAGACTCACTGGCTAGTGTTCTCCCAACTGAGCCACACCTCCAAACCCCTCTCCCCTTTTTTTGTTAATGCTGCCTAAGTTATTCAGGTGTTCCCAATCTATTCTAAGGAGCGTTGCTTCTTTGGAAAACGTTACTAGATGCTCCCTGAGAAAAGGTTACTAGCACCACCAGTAGTGTTAAAAGTGTTTACAAGGCCTTTGTTTTTGAGGATATTTTTGTAGGATTCTTCCCAAAATAGTATACCCAAATTTCATCATGAGGGACTATCCAGATAAATTCTAAGTATGATTTGTTTGGACTTTCAACAATGTCACAAGAGACAACATTTTTTTTTTCATTTCTCGAGGATAATGATATTACTAGAGGAATTCTTTTTGTTCTTAGAGGATGTATGTTCTGATGTTGGAGTAGGGCTCACATTGATGTCTGCAAATGTCAGATAATCCAGATCAATGGTAAAGAGTGTAGAGAAAGAGAAAATGGGCACTGTGCTAATGATTGCTAGCTCAGGTGACTGCTTCATGATGGCATTTTAAATTCTTCTGCAAATTTGAAAGTTTTCAAAATAGGAACAATTTGTATCCAGCTTAATAATAAACAATTAAACATTGGTTGTCCTCATTCATAAGAAAAAACAAAATTCATAGCAGGTTTCTTACATATCCTTTCTTAAGGATGTCTAAGAACCATACGAACTGTCTTCAGAAATGACCTCATTCTTAAAGGCATGATACCGAACCTGGTTACCAACCAAAGGAATGTTAATGTGTGTCATGTGATGGTCACACTTCTAGTGTGCTGCACTAGAAGTTTAACAGTAATGAAGTCTTGTAGTCTGTTGAGTTCGTTTTTTAATTTATTGTAAGTATTTATTGAGTGGCCACTAAGTGTAGACACTATACAAGCAGGAACTCCCGAGGATACATGCTCAAGTCCCTTATGTAAAGTAGCATAATGTTTGATCTAACTGGCTCACATCCTCCTTTATTCTTTAGTTTCAAAATTACTTATAATACCTAATAAGTGTAAATGCAGTTGTAGATACTGTATTATTGAGGGAATCATGACAAGGAAAAAATGGACGTACATATTCAGCACAGTTAAATATTTTGATGGAGAGGGCTAATTGTACTAGATTCTAGAGATGGCTGTCACCGATAAAAGTTTCAGCCCACACAGAGCTTACATTTTCAAAAGTAAGCAAGCAAATATAGATCAAAGAAGTGCTATATAGAATAATAAGCAAGGATTTCGGTGTTAGCGAGCGCCGGTCAGAATGGGTGTATACTCTTCTCTACAGGGTGACAAATTGGGCCTCTAAGGAGACATTAGAGCAGAGACCTAAAGAAAGTAGACTGTGTTCTATGAAAGGAAAGAGCATACCATAAGAGGAGCCGCAAGTATTGGGCTCTGGGGCCAGAGCAGCTTAGCAATGTAGTTTTCTATTACCGCCACATAAAATTGCCCATGAATTTAAAAGCCAGGCTTGGTAGCATGCACTTGTAATCCCAGCACTAGGGAAACAGGCAGGAGGATTATTAATTCAAAGCCAGCCTGTGTTATGTAGTAAGAAACCAAAAAATTCTCTACAAATTTGTTACTTTTATAGTTGTGTAGGACTGAGGTCCAACACTGGGCTCAAGTCAAGTCTGCTCACATCAGTCTTCATTCCTTTCTAGAGGCTTTCTAGCTTTTAGATGCCACTTCTCTTGCTTTGTGACACCATCCCCCTTCCCCCCCCATTCTCCTTTTAAATGCTAGTAGCATTAGACAAAGGTTTCTCTACTTTTAAGGCTTAGTGTGATTAAACTGGGTCCACTCAGGTAATCCAGGATAATCTTCCGATCTCAAGGTCTTTTACTTTAATCACATTTGCAGAGTCTGTGTCACCCACTTTGCCTTGTGACATTCACAAGTTCTGGTTACTTTGGAAATCTGTGTCAGGGAGAGATGGCATTCACAGTCCAACTTCCAATCTTCATGCTTGTTCTCAAGCAGAAGGACCCAATATGTTTTCAACACATTGTAGCATCTCACCTAAAACTCAGAAGCCCCAAATTAAGGCTAAGCATGGAAACTAGACCTGTAATTCTAGTTACTTAGGAGGCAGAGAAGGAGAGGATAGATCTTTGAGGGCAGCCCACACAGAAAGTTCCAGAGTTCATCTCAACTAATAACAAAGCTAGCTGTGGTAGCTTGTACTTGTCATCCTAGCCATGTTGGAAGCCTACATGGGAGGGTGGCAGCTCAGGCAGCCCCAGGTATAAATATACAGCCCTTTTCAAAAAAATAACTAGCAAACAGCCTCGAGTTCAAACTGCCACACACACAAAGGCCCAACTAACTCATCTATTAAAGTAGGTACGGTTGAGGCTTTATACGTATCCATCCTCGCACAAGATTCTTTTCCATTTGGATCTGCAAAATTAAAAAAGTGAGTTCTCCATAAAATTTGACTTGTTGAAACTCCTTGGTAAAACTGAGATTAAAAAAAAAAAAAGATTTCCCTGCTGCAACATTACGAAATGTAGTGTAGAACAGACCTGTGGTGGCAGTTACAACCATCTCCATTACAAAAGTGAGAAAATGGAAAAACGTGAGTCACTAGTACCAAACCATTTTCCAACCCAATCATCCAGTCCACACTAAAGTCAAGCCCAGGAACAATGCTCTGTGGTTCCTTATTCAGCTCTAAGGCCATGATGGCCCCACCGTCTCAGCACTGGAAATTCAAGAATGGATATCTTTGCCGGATTGTTATGCTAACTACCACTATCATTACTGCGTCATTTACATCTACTATTTTTTCACACTAATCTTCACTTAGTAGTTCTTTAAGTTCCTAATTACTTACCTTTAAGCAAATACTTGCTCAGTACTATATGAAGCTCATCATTTTAAGGAACTTCACTGTAAATCACATCATGAGAAATGCAAATACGCTCTCCAATTCCTGTTAGAAAAGAATATATTCTCCTTTTCTATTCATATCACACACAGTTCATTCTAAAAATTCTGTCA